GGTCGGGATTGGCAAGACAATGTGCAGAGAGGGGATCCGGTATCTTGGGGGCACAGCATCCATGGCTCTACCAGATCTGATGCTGGCCTGGTCCTCATAATCCTGGGATGGAGAGTCACAGTAGCTCCGGAAACACAAGCACTCACACCCTCATGGGCCTGCTCTGATGCATCAGTAATTAGCAAGTGTGTTGAGCACCTACTACTAGGAATACAGAGGCACTAGGAATACTGAGGAGCACAGATCCACGCAGTCTCTGCCTGTGAGAACTGGTCTGGTCAGCTGGACCCCGTTGGTGTGGTCCAGAGCTTCCTTGAGGAAGTGATGGTTGAGGTGCAAAAATGCACAGGGGTTAACTAGGTGAGGAAGGTTCCAGTTAGAGGTCCAGCCTGCCGGGAACTCAGAAGGAGGAAGGGCTGAGAGCCAGAAGGAGAGTGGGGTGAAAGCATGCTGCAGGAGTAGGCAAGTCTCATAGGCCATGATAAAGACTTGAACACCATCTAAGAGCGCTGAAGCCACGGAAGCCTTTTAGCAGGGGAGTGGAATCATCTGGTATGTCTCCAAAAGGTTCTTACTCTGTTCAAATGGGTGGAGGAGGGTAAGAGCAGGTGTGGAAAGACGAGTCAGCACCGTGCCTCAAGAATTCCCTGGTCACCCGAGAGGAGCTTACCGAAATGTAGATTCGGGTCCAGGAGGTCTGGGGTGGGTCCTGGGACCCTGCGTCTCTAGCAAGTTTCCAGGTGGTGCCCATGCTGCTGATCCACAGACCACACTGAGTAGCAAGGGGCTAGTCCAGGTGAGCAATGTGGTGGCCTGGACCAGGGGGTGGCAGGGGCAGTGGGGAGAAACGGACAAATCTCAGACGTGCTTTGGAGGCGGGCTCTTCAGTGCGCAGCAATGGGTAGGACACGGGGAGAAAGAGAAGAAAGTATCAGAAATGGCTCTCAGATCGTGGAGTGGGTTCTCTGCGATGGGAAGGCTGGAGAAGGAGCTGGGTCTAATGGACGTTAGCCGTGGGAGATGTCAAGTTGGGAGGCGAATACAGAGTCCCAAGAGCCAGAGTGGACGCACACACCCTGTCTTCCCTCCCACATCCACGCCGTCTGCGGAGGTGGTAGTCCCCACACCTGGGACACCCAGGCCGGCTTGCCCCAAATCACGATTGCGAATCCTGTGCTCAGGGCCTCATGGGCATGGCCTGCACTTCGTCCCAGCCCTGGGTGCCCCAGCCTCTGGTGGCAGAGGACCAGAGGGAAAGCGGCCCTCAACGGGCCACTCAAATTCTGAGGCTGAGAAGGAGGAAGGGCGAGATGGAGTTGGCAGGAGAGTTTGCAAGGGAGAGGATCCAATTTCCTCACTGACAGAACAAAAGCCACTTTCTCTGGGAAGAACTTAAAGTTGGATGTCTGATCCCCATCTTGGATTTGCACGGAGTCCCTTTACCAGCCCCCGGGGGCCCGGAGAGCCGGAAGGGCTCAGTCCGCTGGCGCCATCTAGTGTCTATAGGGAAGTAGTCCTCTGGTGGTCACAGAGCGGAGGCCTCGGCCAGGCTCGGGGTGGGGGGAGATCCAGCCTGCAGCAGAGTTTGGGGCAGCTGCGGCCTTCTAGGGCAGTGGGGGGCGGGGGATGGGGGGGAGGTGACTCAGGAGTTTATGACTCCGTATTGGTCTCCTAGGGCTGCGGAAACAAGTTACCACAATTGGGTGGCTTAAAGCAACAGAAATGTATTCTCTCACAGTTCTGGAGGCTACAAGTTCAAAGTCAAGGTATCAGCGGGCCATTCCCCCTCTGAAGGCTCCAGAGAGGGAAACTTTCCCTGCCTCCTCCTGCTTCTTTGTCGCTGGCTGGTTTGTAGATGGCTCCAGTCTCTGCCTCCACCTTCAAGGCCTTCCCTGTATGCCTGTGTCCAAATTTCCCTCTACTTAGGAGGACACCAGTATTCAGATTAAAATCTACCCAGTCCAGCGTGACCTCATCTTAACTTGATTTCATCTCCAAAGACCCTATTTCCAGATAAGGTTATGTTCACAGGTACTGGGGAGTTAGGATTAGAAAGGATCATTTGCGGGGGCGGGG